CAATGTCAAGCCTGTAACAATGAAATAACCCTATTTGGTGCTCTATAGAACCCTCCTATACACTCTTTAAAAAGATGGTTTTTCGAGGGTTCTTTAGGTAAGAAAATGGTTATATAAAAAACCGGGAACATTCACAGAACCCTTTGCATGATTAAAGGGTTCTTTGCACCATGAAATGGTTCTTCGGATTGATATGGTTCTATATAGCACCAAAAGAGTTCTTCTATTGTTACACTCTTTACAAAGTTGGCTCTTCAAGAGTTCTTTAGTAATGACAGTGGTTCCGTATAGAACCATGAACACTCAAACCTATTGCATGCTTAAAGGGTTCTTTGTTTGGGGAAAAGTTTCTTCAGATTGATAAAGAATGTGTTATACACACTTAAAAAGTTGGTTTGTTTAGTAAAGAAAATGGTTCTATATAGAACCATGACAACTCGAAGAACCTTTCTTAGGATCAAAGGGTTCTTTGCATGGTGAAAATGTTCTACAGATTCTTTTTGAAAAGAGTCCTTTGTATATAGCACCAAAAAGGGTTCTTTTATTGTTACATGCTTGACATAGTAACAATAGCAGAACCCTTTTTGGTGCCATATATAACCTTTTTCAAAAGGGTTCTATGTAGAACCATCTACAGCACTCTGCAATCTGAAGAACACTTTCACAATGTAAAGAACTCTTTAATCACGTGAATGCGTTCTTTGCGTTTTTCATGGTTCTATATAGAACCATTTTCTTATAGAACCCTTGAAAAAACAGCTTTTTAACGTGTATATGTGTATATGTGTATATGAGGGTTCTATATAGCACCAAAAAGAGTTCTTCTATTGTTACAATCTTGACATTGAAGCAATAGCAGAACCCTTTTTGGTGCTATATGGAACTGTTTTTAAAAAGTCACATATAACACATTCTCCATCAATCTGAAGAACCATTTCACCACGCAAAGAACCCTTTAAGCATGAAATGGTTCCATATAGAACTCATGGTTCTAAATAGAACGAGTCCCTTTACTAAAGAACCCTTGAAGAACCATCTTTTCTAGGTGTGCACTCAGGGTATCTTAGCCAGCGCTGGCGCTGTGTTCCAGTACGCAGCTGTTTATCATGCTGTTCCGTGTCTATTACTAACCGACAACTGTATAGAAATGGCTGAAAAAACACAGATGTCTCCCAAATGAAAGGCGCCACTCCCAGTGTTTATGGGCCATATGATGAATGGTTCTGTTCAGAACTTTGTTTATTTTTTTGTGCCTTTCCAATTACTATATTGCATGTTTATGTCTAGCTTTTTGTCAGGGCATCTGCTTTTGCACACTCAGGTTAAATGGAGAGTGTCTTCATCACATACTGCAAATATATTAAACATTTATGGGCCACGCATAGACAGCATGCTGTGTGCCATATGCCTTTATTTGATGCATTCAGCACCACATGAATGAGAAGTGTTAGGTGCTATATTTTTTACGATTGACTTGAATGATGTATTAAAGGGATAGTTTGTAAATACAAGTGCTCTGATAACAACATGGGGCAAAATGCATGTATAATAAAGGTTTTTAAATGGCTCATGGCTTGGAGCCCTTCAAGGGGGAAAAACATTGGTATAGAACCTTTAGTTTATGTGCAGGTCTTTAAACTTTAAAGAGAAATTCCAACACTTTAAAAAATGTTCTGTATAATTCAATCATTAAGATGTAAACACAGTAATTCAGAGTGGTTTGATGTGAAACGTGCTGGTCAAGAGAAACCGACCAAGACAGAATTGTTCACAGCAGTGGTGGCAGGAGCCAGACGTCCGAAAGTTACCTCTAATGACTCTAAAAGCTCCCTCACATAAAGTTATTACATAAAATGGTTATGAATGTGCTGCCTGATGCCTGAGATATTGGCTTATGATAGATTTTGGCCTACATATTATTTTTTTAAACCAATTTATGGTGGAAATGTTCATGTAGGGCACTCAAAAGCAAAAAGGTATGCCAAAATGTATTTTTTAAAAAATTTATAAGATGCATGTAGGTACACAGGTCATTCTAGATGATAAATAAAATGGATTATATATGTATTTATATGTTGGATATGTTTAGATTGCGACCTCTGGTTCCTATTACCATCACTGTGGAGAAATCTAAGTTTATACATTTCTCATAAGTGACTCTGTTTACATCTCAACAGTTGAATTATACAGAAATGTTTAAAAAGTCATTCTCATTTTAAAAAGGCTCTTCCATTAAGAGAACCAAAAGTGTTTCTTCTATGGAATCACTCACACCTTTACCTTTAGGAGATCCAGTTATCCAAATAGCTGGCTGTAAGCATCTAACCACTGTGTTGAGGTTTTAACTGTTTACAAGAGCATTATAGAGCGCCAATCACAATCTAACCTCATAAATAGTTGCACGAGAATGCCTTAACAAGTACACGTTGCTACTACTAGATAACGTATTATGTTGCTTTATCTTTCATGCTATGACGCATCATATTGTATTATAGTAATTAACCGTACAGTTGGCGTCATATGCAGCCTGGTTGCTTTACGAAACCTTTTGTTGATCCACCAATAGAGCACATTCTTTTGTTGAGCAGATGTATATCTTGCTGCAGATGTTCATCATGCTGACATCGGTGAGGTGGGGAGGTTTCAAAGGAGAGAAAGTGAACTTGGTCTCAGCTCCCAATGCCTCCATCAAAAGTCTTTGTTCTGCCAGGAGGAACCGCTCAGAACTTGGCCATAGTGCCTGTGTAGCCTTTATTCATTCTCCTTAACTGAATAGCACCATAACTCTTCCTCCTGAAAGAGCGGAGGAGGCCTTAAGCTGCTCTTTTCTAATGGGATATCCGCGCTGAATGTTCTAGCACTCAAAGTTCTTTAAGGCCAAGGCTCTGTCCTTAAACATCCATTATAAGGAATTCAGTTTGTTATAAATGTAAATAAATAATAAAGTGAGGCAATGCCCACTTCTATTCAGGCTTATTCTATACTGTTTCTGAATTTTTCTTTTATTGTGCTTTATTTTAGTTGCCTTTATTGTGCTGTATCTGTATTGTAATCTTATATTAGAGTAGCAGAGACAATAATTTCCTCAAGTTGCTGCATATTCACATCTTATTTTCTTACGTCGCACCAAATCACTACATTTGGATGGAGTAAAATGTATCTAATGTTACATAATTATGTTGTTACCATATTATTACATTATTACAACAGATTATTGCAACAGAAACATGTCAAAATCTATCAATATCTGTATAAATAATCATCTCTCCTATGTATATAGATAGTATATATCCTTGTGAATAATCTTGCTGCGGCAGTTATAATGTTCAACACAACAGTTGCCTTTATTGTGCAACCTGTCATGTAATCTTATATTAAAGTAGCAGAAAGCATAATTTCCTCAAGCTGCTGCATATTCACATCATATTTTCTTACGTGGCACTGAATCAATCACTACATTTGGATGGGGGAAAATGTATCTAATGTTACATAATTATGTTGTTATCATATTATTACATTATTACAATAGATTATTACATTATTATAACAACAATTTCTCTCCTATGTATAGATAATGTATATATACTTGTAAATAGTCTTTCTGGGGTAGTTAAAATGTTCAACACACATTTTTTGTAATAGCCCAAACAGGAGCATGACTGTTCCCAGCAGGTTTCGCATGGGTGGACTTCAGTTATGCTTCCTATACACCGCATGTTCCTCTCGCCTTCAACAGAAATAGACTGTGTGAGAGAGAGAGCATGGCAGCGGCTGCTGATATCTTTATCTACTGTCATTTAGATAACAGCACTTACAGAACAGCACTGTTCCCGCACTGAGAACAGATGGAAATCCATTATGATATTTAGAATGGTGTTAGCTTTATCGTGCATGTTTCAGTCTTTAGGAATCATATAGCAAAAGACAACATTAGGCTTCATGATTGTGATTGAATTCATAGGATTTTAAATTGGCTGCTTCCCTGTGTGTCAGTTGTTGAAAGTCATGAAAGTCAATCATTCATCATGAAATTTTGGTTTTGAAAGTTGAAGGTTTTGTTCCGACATATTGAGCAAGTTTGATTCCTGATTAACATGTTTATATGTGAATATACTTTTTAAATGAAATGATGACAAGGTTAGTGATAAAGAACCGTAAGGAAGTACTTTGTATTCTTCCAAAGAACGTAAGAGATTAAGATCTTTTTTCCAGAAATTCACATGCATTTCCTTTTATCAGATAAAAAATGGTAAATTGTTATGAAATACAGTGCAAAACCAACAACCCAAAATGTACTCATTTGTAGTATGCACTCTTAAAAAAGGTGCCCCCAAATGATGCCTTGGAAGAACCACTTTTGGCCAAGATATTTTAAATGTTTTAAACAATTTCTCTTCCTTTAAACTGTAAAAACATCTCATTTACAAAAAAGCTACTGTACTGTTAGAAAGAAAGGTTCTGTGCAGGTACATTTTTCATTGATCAAGGTACAAACAATGTAAATATACCCTCAAAGGTACAACCGTGGTCCAGTTGTGTACCTTAAATAAGTTTTTCCCAGGTGAAAAGTACATATTTGTACCTTTAATAACCTAATGTTTCAAAACGGAACAGTGAAATGAAAAAAGATAAAAAGCCTGGAGACGAGACGGGGGGTGTGGAGTCAGTACAGCTCAAAAATATCATTTCAGTGGATTATGGTACAATTATGTTCCCTGACTAAAGGTACAGAGATGTACCCTTGAGGGTACCACCCCGGTGACAAGGGATACTACTCCAGTGACAGTTTCATACCTTTTTTCTGAGAGTGTAAAGAACCTAGAAATGTTCTTTAGGGACCCAAAAGTGCAAAGAACCCTTTTTCGCACCTTTATTTTTAGACTTTCTAATAATATTCCCATTGTACCCATGATCTGATGTTTTTCAGCACATGCCCATCTTGGAGTGACATATTGGCACTTAAGCCGCAGCTTAGATGACAAAAGAGGATGTGTCCTTACCGTTTGCCCGGCTTATCCAGACTTGTCAGCGTGTCTACGTTTTCAGTTGACCTCTGGGTAAAAATGGCATTGATCGATACTCCAGCCCTTTCACTCAGGGACAGGTGAAAGAGAGCGCGCTTGGCTTCTTGTTATCTTTTCACGGTTGTGTCCAGCGGTCTACGGCGCAAGACTAGCCCCCGAAAGTGCTGCATTCTTTTAGCTTCAGAGGACCATCAGACGTCCAGGGGCTTAGGGTGTGTAAGAAAGCTCCCCAAATCCCCATCTTGCTGTTAGGGAGTTGTGCAATAAGTCAAGCAGGCATTTAAATCAACAACGTCTTCCTCTGAGCAAAAATACTACTAAAAAAAAAAGTGTTTCACGCAGATGTTTTGCTTTTAAAAAGTGGAAAACTAGGAATTTCAGATAGTTAAGAAGTTATAAGAGCAACTATTTTGACAGTCCAATGCTCAAAGAGTGCTAATTGTCTGGCAATTATTAGAGAAAAGTAGTTTAAAGAAGTTTTAAAGCACTACAGCTTGTCATTTCTCACCAGTCCACTCGTGTCCCATGAAATGTAATGCGGAGAGATGGCAATGTGGCTTGGGAAAGTTGTTTATTCCGTGAAAATTCCTCTGCAGTGATTCACTAAAGTGAGGGAAAGCTGATGGCAGCACACTTGTGTCTCTTCAACAGATCTCTAACGAGAAATTCCCAAGTTAGCAACCTTCTATCAGACTCCAAGAATCCTCTTCTCGGATACAACCAGGAACGAGTTCTTCAGCACTTTCTGAAGGAGTCCCTCAGAGACAAGTCTCCAGGTATGTGATCCCAGCCTTGATTACACAAGCAAAGCTCCGAGCGTCTTCTTTGGGCTGGGACCAGAATGCTACCTTCTCCTTTTGATCCCGTCTGCTCAGTGGATTAAGCCACTGCTGCTTGGTGCCCAACAAACGAAACACTTTCCACAACAGCTCGTAGTCATTTCCGTCTACAGCAAGACCAGACCAGTTTCTCTCAAACTGAATGGAACTGGTGAGCAAAAGCGAGTCTCCAGCTGTCTTAGCGCTGAAGTGCTGGTGCAGAGGGATGGTTGAGGAGGAGAGATGGGAGGAGGGGGGGGCTATGGGGAGTGTTGTGAGAGAGATCGCTGCACTTTACTCTTCCTTTACCTCCCTCCTCCTTCACACACATATGCAGGACTGATAAGCCCCACCTCCAGACAAGTGGATAAGAAAAGGTTAATTACAGTAGAATCTGTTGGAAATGCATGTCACTTAATGTCTTAATATCTTGCTAAGTTTTCTGGTCATTTTCTATAGTAATTTTTTCATTATTACATTAACCCTTAGAAATCACAGCTGATCACAAAACATAGGGTTAAGATTCCATATTAACCCCTTAAAATCCCAGACTTGTTACATACCAAGGCTTATTATTCAGTTACTACAGGGACCTTAATGCAAACTGGTTGAGCTATTCTTAGGTTATAGAAGTGTGTAATAAAACATTGGGCCCACTTTTAAGGGGTCAACACAAGGGGTTAATGTCTGTATCTGAAATTTCAAATGTTCTTTGGTCTGTGTGTTCTCTGAGCTTGCCTGAGCACAAATCCAAAGAATTTTTTTCAAATATTCTAATTATAAGGCTAAAAGAATTGTTTTTATTACTTATAAAGTCATATTAAATGTGGTTGCCTGACTACAAATTTTTAAAAGAACACTGGAAATCTGAACGTGAATAAAAGTACAAAAATGATAGGTAATCAAAAAAAAAAAACAAGCTCTGTGCCATCATACTAAGTTAGTTGTTGGACATGAATGAGTTAGTTATGAGCATTTGTTGTTTGTCGAGAAATTCGGCCAAAAACTGCAAGTTCTAAACTTGTAGTCCATGCCATGTCTGTGTAGAACAGAAGAGGAAGAATCCCACTGATGTGTCATTTTTTGTGACGAAGGCCTGAAGAGGCTGCAACATTTCGACACATTTTTATACACATTGGCAGGTGGCAATAAAGACTTTTTATATTTTTCTTAAGCCGGTGTGCCGGGAATTTATTTGTTCTGGGATTCATTTTGTACATGACTTGTGGATGCAGATGGATTATCTTGTTGCTTCACTTTTGTGACCTCTGAGGTTCTTTTTTTCAAAATTTTTGCTTTTTTTTCAGAAGAGGAGATATTTTATGATCTGAATTTGATGAAACATGATTCATCTGTATACAAACAGTCCAATGCTATTTTTTTTGTCATAGACTGACATCGAAAAACCCTGTTAATCTGTTAATAGAGAGTGTAAATACAGGGACGGCTCTAGCCCCAGCACCCCCGCTCCCATTTTCCTAGGCACTTCCCGCAACCTGCACATCCTAAACAGTTTAAAAATAATACTGGAGAATTTTTTTTAAAACAACTCTTATTATGTTACATAAAAAGCTGATGTACTGTAAAATTAGAGGTTAACTAATGACAGTGACTACCCCAAGTTGTCTACATTCAGTTTATAACTGGCTAATTTGTGTTTTACTGATGATTGGATGCTAATGAATGCCTGTTTGGGCTTCCAAGTAACAATTTGAGCTACAGTTAAAACATCTGAGCTGTCTCCATCCAGACCGAGTACTTTTTGTTGTCCAAGTCAAAGCCAAAACAAATGGCATAATAATGATAACACTGCAGTCATGCAGTCAATCAATCAATCAATCAATCAATAAATCTGATCTTTGTCTTTTAGCTTTTTCTCCTCATGTCCTGTTCTTTTTTCTTGGCTCCTGATGTGTACATTCTTTTTGAAACATGGTTAAGCTGTCATTTTTTTGTCCCTCACTCGAGCATCTTAGACAACATAATGGTTCAGTAATAACCTTAAGTATTTATAAAATGCATTTTATCCCCATTATTTTAACATATCATTTTTTGTATATAATGGTCATTACAATATCAAGACCCTATTCAGGAATAAATTTAAGTAAAGCTTCTTCTTGTCTCATGTGTTTGTACGTCATCCATTCTGCACTGCATTGTGCTGAATGTAGCATTGGCAGTCTTCCCTGACCTGGGCTGTTTGCCCAAAGCTCTAGAATCAATAGGCTTTCATAGGGAAATGTGACAGTGAACTACCCTTGATGCATACATTTCACTTTACACATACCCTTTTGAAATGCTGAGCCACTGTTAGCAAACATAATCAATCAGCTCTTTCACTTTTCAAATTTGTGGTACTGACATTGTTGAAAACCTTAAAAAATGTATATTCAGTGCATATCAGTCCTGCTTATATAAAAATTTTGTAACTCGTATGGATACCATTTTAAAAGAACTAAAAAATCTGCAATAATGCCAGAAATGGGTAGAGTAGCTTAAACTCATATTCAAGTACTGTTACTTCAAAGACTCAAATAAAAGCACCTTTCCAAAAAAAATTAATAAAAAAAACATTTAAGTGTTATACATCTTTTTAAATATTCTTATTTAAAAAGTACAACTGTATGAAGCACAGTGGTCACTGGCAACATAAACCCACTTCCAAAAATGTTGAGAGTAGATGAAATGCAAATAAATACAGAAAGCAGTGATTTATGAATCTACTTTGACCTGTAGTTGAACCAAAAACAGTACAAAAATCAGATATTTATTTTTTTATCTTACCAACTTCATTGTTTTTTGTAAATATACACTCATTCTGATATTGATGCCTGCAACAGATTCCAAAAAAGTTGGGACAGGTGCAGTTTAACACTAGAACGTTGTGGAATGTTCCAAAAAAGAGTTCTTAATCATGTAATCATGCTTGGATATGAAAGGAGCATCCAGGAATGGAAAAGTCCTTTATAAGCGAGGATGTGTTGAGGCTTGCCACTTTGCCAAAAATGCAATAGCAAAAAATCCAGTAGTTTAAAAATACCATTCTTCAGCCAGGGATTGCAAGGCTTTCAGGTATTTGACCTTCTACAGTGCATAATACCATTAAAAGATTCAGGGAATCTGGAGAAATCACTGCATGCAAACACAGTTAATGCCCATGACCTTCAACCCTTCAGACAGCACTGCATTAAAAATGCCATGTTTCTGAATGAATATCACCCCATGGGTTCAGAAATACTTTAAAAAACCATTCCGAATAAACATCATCCTTCACTTAATCCACAAATGCCAGTTAAGCCTGTACAATGCACAGTGGAAGCCATTTGTCAAAAATGTCCAGAAAAGCTTATTAGTGGGTAACCTGCACATGTCTGAAAGCGCCATTAATGCTGAACACATTTTAGAGCAACAGATACTGGTTTTTGGAGGTTGTCTTTTTCAGAGACACTCCACTCCATGACAACACCAAACCACATTCAGCATGTTACAACAACATTGCTGCAAAACCAGAGAGTGCGGGTGCCTGCAGTCCAGACCTGTCTCCCAGTGAAAACGTGTCTTATTAAGCCCAAAATGTGACAGCTAAGAAGATTTGTATAACAGAAAAAAATTGCTTTCAAAACTGCATCAGTCCCCAAATGTTTATTAAGGGCTGCTGAAAGGAAAGGTGATGTAACATTGTGGTAAACATGCTCCTGTCCCAATTTTTTGCAATGTGTTGCAGGCATCAAATTTAGAATGCGCATATATTTACAAAAACCAATAAAGTAAAATATCAAATATTGTGTTTTTGTACTGTTTTCAATTGAAAATACATCAAACATACATACATACATACATCATCTAAACTGCTTATCCTTCTGGGTCGCGGTGGGGTGCTGGAGCCTATCCCAGCCGTCATTGGGCGAAAGGCAGGATACACCCCGGACAGGTCGCCAGTCCATCGCAGGGCAAAATACATCAAACAGAATTTACTAATCAATGCTTTCTGTTTGTAATGGCATTTCACATACCGGCCCAACTTTTTTTGGAGTTAAGGTTGTATATCAATTTAACTAAATATTTAGGAGAAAGTTCAAGCACAAATGCGTTAATTAAAGGAGTCATTTTGAGTAATAATCAAATAACAATAAGAAAATTCTGAATATTGAATACACTGTCCTAAATATATTCAGTAATGTATTCCGTTACAATGCAAGTAAACCTTGATAAGGCAGATGAGAATATATATATATATATATATATGTTGTTCATTCATACTATTCCTTGCTGCTCCTGGTTGGCAGTTTTCATAAAAAAAATCCTTATAATTAAAAAAAAAAAAATCATAATATAAAAAAATCACCTCAGGCTTTAGCAGAGCTCAGTAACATTGAGATTAATATCTGATCATCATATTGATTTATCAGTCTACTCAGGCTTCAGCAGAGCTCAGTAACACTGAGATTAATATCTGATCATCACATTGATTTATCAGTCTACTCAGGCTTTAGCAGAGCTCAGTAACACTGAGATTAATAACTGATCATCACATTGATTTATCAGTCTACTCAGGCTTTAGCAGGAACTTCAGCGTTTGTAAAGAAACTGTTAATTTAGAATTCAACTAATGAGCATGTTGTTTTAGAATCGTATCGTGCACTGATTCTAAAATAGTTCATACACAAGCATTGATGTTTCTTTTAAACACTGCATGTTTTTATTTAGCAGGTAAGTATTCTAAAAGTGTTCTCCTAAAAATGTTAAAAGTAACTGTATTCTGAATACTACCTTTACAAAATGTCTTAATTTCTGCTTTCTGAATACATATTCCAGATACTTGTATTCTATTAGATCTCTACCCTGAGGACAAGTTAGTCCCTTCAGTTCCACTGGCGAACAGACTGTTAGTATTTGCTGTATGTAATTATGAATGATCAAACAGGTTCCTCCCAACAAGAGATGAAGGAGAGTATCAGTATCTTATCAGTAAGAGATTAAGGACAACATCTAAGAATGTTTCTTGTAATATGTAATATTTATACTTTTTCTCCTTGTTTAAAAAGACATGCTTGGGAAGAACATGGTTGATCTCTGTTTTATATCTGTCATATATCTGTAACAATAGTACTACTCAAAAACTGTTTGCCTGGCTTAGCCAGACATTTCTGACTAGCTGTTATAAAATCAAATTCAAGACTCAAATGACATAACATGATATCGTTCTGTGTGCTTTTCTTCAAGGTGATGATCCAAACACCAGCCTCTAAGTTCAT